GTCCTCAACTTGGAAAGGGCCGAAGCGGTGGGGCGGGCCGGGCAGCCGGTGGAAGCACAGGAAGGAAGCCGGGGCGGGCAGCCTCCGGAGCGGCCGGCAGAGGGCGCGCCAGCACCGGGATTGGCAGCGGCCGCCGCTGGAAAGCGGACGTCGGCCTGGCTAGGGACACCCAGACTCGAGAAACTCACGTGGCGCCGGGTGGCGCGTGGGGACACTTGTGCTGCCCCGGGGAGTGCTGTCCAGGCTAAAAAATACGCTCTGCCCAGCTCCGGCCGCTTCCTCCGGGGGTCGGGTAGACCACTTCTGAAGCTGAATACTTCTGGGAGTTTGCGGCACCCTGGCCGGACACCCGGGCTCCCGAGAAGACTGTGGCAAGCCTCTCACCAAGACTCTGTCTTCTCATCTGTGGAATGGTGACCATTTAATTGCTCAAGAAATACTGAGCGCCTATGTTGTGCCAGGCACTGTTACAGGCGTCAGGCGTAACTACAAGGCTCTTCTTGCTGTGGCGTTCATAGTCTAGTTGCGGAGGGTCGGGGGAGGGAATAGCTAAGTAAGCAAGTTCGTATTTCCAAAAATGTCATATATATACAAAAAAAAAAGGATGATGTGAGCAGTGATATATAAGCTGGTACTTGAAGAAGTCACCCTGAGAGAAACGGAGGACTTGTTATAAGCAGAGAAAACTGCCTTGAGTCCGAAGAGCCTGGCCAGTTGGATAAAAGAAAGAAGGTGGAGGGAGAAGCCTGGGAGAGGACAGGGAGCTGGAGAGGGAAGCTCCGCCCCACCGGGGACCACAGCGCCCAGCACCGTGGTCCTTAAAACTATTCTCCGGTGGAAAACGTCAGAACAGCTGTGGTCTGTGGGGAGGTTGGCCCTACCTAGAAGGGTCTGGAGGGAACCTCCCGGTGCGAGGGAAAAAATGCCTCGATTAGGGTGTTGATTACATGGATGAACACATTTATCAAAACTCAGCGACAAGTTGTGCATTTTGATGTATGTCAATTGTACTTCAAAAACAAAATAAAAAGTGACAGTCCCCGGCTTGTGAGAGTAACCGTGAGCTGGGAAAGTCCAGCTAGCCCCGAGGGCTGATCCCGCAGGCCAATGTGTGAGGAGCATCCTCTAGGGAGAGGGTGGGGCGGACTGGAAGAAAGGCAAGGGCGGTCTTGAGGGTGTAGGTGAGCAGTGCCGCGCACAGCCAAGACAGGGGCTCCGGGCTCCGGTCCCCAACCCGGGTCGTCAGGGGCAACGTTGGAGCTGCGCGCCCCTGCCTCGCCCCTCCGCGCAGAGACCAGGTGGCGGTTGGGGAGCACCCAGCCCGTTTGATTTCCCGCGGCCGGTGGAAAGAGGCGGAGGGGGAGGGGAAAGAGGCCGTTGACCAATGGTTTGAGCTGGGGTCGGTCACGTGACGGCACGGGGCGGGGCCCAGGTGTACTTACAGGGCTGCGGGCGGGGGCCTGGGTCCCTGAGCGAAGTCTGGGAGGCGGGGCCGGCATGCGGGCCCGGGGGCTGTTCGGCTAGGATTGGC